CCTCTTGGACATGCTTTACACGTTTTTTCTCCCCGAAGGGCTGGAGAAATTCGGCCTCTTCAAGCGAGAAAAGAAAGAGAGAGATTCTTCTTCGAAAGAAAAATCGGTTAGTACCGTAAGGTCTTAGAAGAAGATGATCAAGAGGTTTTGGGAAATCTAATAAATCGCTCCACCAAGATTTATTAGAGATCGTGTAAAGGTCATACAATAGAAGATTCAAATGTTGTTGATTCGTGTTCCGTTGTATTTATGTTTTTCGGCGACCCCGCGATCACCGCAACTCGCCGGAATTTTTATGTAATTTTTCAATCGCAGCCCGTGTACTCAGATTCGCGCCCAGTGGTCAATGTCATTAGCTTTTGCGCGAGTTGAAGATAGCAGAAGACGTGTGGCGCATTGGTCTTCAGCGTTGTATCCCGTGCCCGAGGTCCCGCGTTCGAGTCCTTTCTCCTTGCGTAAAAAGGAGACATTTTTATTTTGTCCACAGCAGCTCCAGGCGCGCGGGCTTCATGGCCCGCATCAGCCCGCGCGCGGCCCACGTATGTCTCACAGTCCCAGCCCGCGAGAAGCCCGATCACAGCCCGCGTGAAGGCCCAGTTCCGCAGCGCGCTTCTTGGCCCAGATGTCCTTCTCGCGTAGCCCAGTTCCGTTGTGAGCAGCCCAGTTCGCGGCCCATCAAGCGTAGAGCGGCCCAGCGACTGTGAAACAAGCCCAGAAGCATCCAAGAGAGTCCAGCTTGACCGGAGTGAGCCCAGATTGCTGCCAGCAAGCCCAGAGCTAGGTTAAACAGGACCAGGCGTGTCCAGCTCGCACCAGAACGGTTCAACTTGGTCCAAAAGCCCCGGTTCGAGTTCAAGATGGTTCCCAAGCGGTTCGAGCTGTCCGATTCACCTACCGAAGGTCCGAGATGATCCGATGAGCTTGATGAGCAATTGGAGCACTATGGTGACTCGATTAGAATCGAGAAAGGTCAAGTCTAGCTGCCCATTAGACTTTGGTGTTCAGACGATCTCCATCAACGGAAATCAGAAACGTCTCAGAGTCGGCAAAAAATTTTTAAACCGTAAGTCTTAATCCTAACTATAGATTCCGCTGCGTTAGGATTTATTATTCAATAGATTTGAATGTGCACATTGTTGACGTTCCTCACAGAACCCAACAACAGGTATCAGAGCCCAGGTTAATTTGACTTTGTGCACTATTCGAATTAGGGCTTGCGTGATATATGTGAATTAATCGTGTACTGACGCAGCGCATAATAGATTAGAATTGCAAATTAGTGTGTTTGTAGGTATTCTTGAATCCGACTATTATGGCCCGCATGTATGTTTGTTTTTTTTAATCCATGTATGTCGTTTTATAAGCCTCGGACATGTCGAGGATTTTTGGGTTGGTGAATGCTTGTAATAATTTATTCGCACGGTGGGACACCGCATAGTTTAAATGCTTTACTAGATCATTCATGTACGACCCCTGCGTGGGCCATAGGATCAATGTATGTAATTTATATTATGTAATTGTTCGTTGGACCCGGTAAGCGCGGACATCTCTCGACGAGACGAGGCAGGCTACCCCGCGAACCCGTAGTTGATGGGATACGTGGTACTGTGCAAATGAGGACATACTCGTAGGCAGCTTGCTGTCAGATACGAGCATTGTTAAGGTGTTTGCAGACGGATACGCACGGACCCAGGTCAACAGAAGTACGGGCGACGGCTGCAGTAGGCACACGCCAACAGAGGAGACTCGATGGCGACTTTCCCGATGATGCCTTGTTCAAGACGAAAAGTGGGAGTCACGGCGAAAAAGGAAATTCCAAGTCCTGAATCAGAAGACCCAGTTCAACAAGGACTAGACTGCGTTTCCCGAAAGATTGGAGATTGATTAAAATGGCCATGATAGTTGGATAATAGTTCCTCGTTTATTATTGCCTATTAACCATGCATGTCCTAATGTGATTTAATTGCTCTATGTGCAAGTTGAATTATTAGGAGCATGTTTAAGAAAATCCCTTTAAACTAAAAATTATATTAAGTGTGTAATGTGTTGAAATAACATCCAAGGCCTCCATTATAGGTTTGTCAGTGAAGTGATTTAAATCGAGCCCAAAGGACGTTTTATTTCACAGTTCACAAGGATAAATCTCCTTCGGGATGGTTATAGTGAGCTATTTCAAAAGCGTACGGGTCACCCAAA